GACCACTTGCTGGGGACTGCCAAGTGTTAGTGGTCCGTCATGTTTCGGCCAACGCATAAGCACGTTCCAGGGTCGGAGTCTACAGCCTGATGCAATTGTTTGATTAATTAAAAAGGTTCGTTTCTGCAAGCAACTTGTTAAAAAATATCGTAAGAATCAGGCGTATTATCATGAGATCGTGAGACTAAGTACTGAATCGTGAGATCTCACGATAAATCGTGAGATCTGGGATCCCTGCCAACTATTTACATGGAATCCGACCCCCGTGCTGCACAGTTGCAGTTGCATTCTATTATAAATAAGACGCTGGGAGGTCTGTGACCACGCCTACCGCCTATAAAGTCAATCTGGTTTCTGCGCGTTGTAAAGTAGTAATTAAGCTCTAACCGCTTGCTGAAAATTGACACCGTATTTTTTAATATATTTTTGTGAATGTTATACACGTGAATAATATTAGTTGTTTATTTAAATGTTTACAAGTTATTTTGTGGCGATATTTTATAGATCTAAACTGTTTAAATTATATAATTTAAAGATAAATTAATTTAAAATTTTTTATGTTAGGTATATTCAATATACTTGACAACGCTACAGGAATAAGTCATGCATACTGCGCATGCTTATAGCCACACTATTTTGCGATGTCCTGCGCAGAGACGCGTTTTTATGCACAGTGGGTTTCAATTTCTGTTTAAATATAATATTCATATCGGTTTTCTATACTATTTCTTTGCATTTTTGGTCCTTGTGCACCCTGACCTTTTTAGAACTATTACGGGACTACGTTATTAGGAGTGTATCGTCTAGCTTGGTCTTTTTTATTAGACTTAGTAGTTTTGACACTGGCTCCTGCATGTAGTTACATGCTTTTCGCTTTTTTCGCCTAGTGTTAGAAACCTTAATCTAGCAAGGCCAACACACTGGCACAGGATGTGGATTGATGTTTCCTTTTATTTTCCACAGAATTTGCACAATGTTGCTTCTTGTGCTGGATTGATGGCACTTATGTGCCTTCTTAGGCGACAATGTCCGGTCAGAAGATTTACTGCTATATTAACGATTTATTGTTTTTGATCACATACAGTTCATCAAATTTCTAGAGGTGTTCGACGCCCAGACAGAGAACGCGCTACGTGTGACTAAGATAGCTATTGTACAGTCTGCTAAACAAGTTATTTTAAATAGTTTTTAATATTTTTAGGTAATTAAATTTTAAAAGTGTGGAATAGTTTAGGGATTAAATTGGTCTGATTGGACTTTCTTAGAACGTTTTTAAAAGCAGCTAAAGATAGTATGTAGAATTGAAAATAATTATTATGCCATAAAAGGTGTTTTGGAATTCCTTCAACCTTTTGAAATTGAGTCAGAAAATATAAATTTTATAGGATAGCGGAAAATACCTATAATTTTTTTGTAGGCCTTTGTAAATCGTGGAAATAGTTTATATTTTATTTCTACCTTATTAAGGAAAATGGTACCTATTATTAATAACGGTTGTTTCTAAAACATTACTAAAATTTTCGAAATTTTGTTTTTCTACAAAATAATAAAATATACTATTTAGAAAAAAATTTATTTCTCTTATAATTTTATAAAAAATAACAGGGGAATATTTACATTTCTTGATCTATTAAACAAAACGATAAATTATCTCGACGAATGACACCATGTTCTAGTACGAAAGCTAGCTTTACATTTTTGTTGGTGGTTTCATGGGTTTCATATCAATTTTTTGTAATTGTAGTTTACACGTACATATACCTCTTAACACTTGTTTGCTTTATTAAAAAAGTGTGTTGTTGTGATTTACGTCGAAATAAGTCAAAAACAACTTGAAACCCCATATAAAATCAAAAAGGAGAAACGGAAAAAAATTGAGCCTGTAAATGAACACAACTCAGAAACAAAAATAGCTATCTAATAATAAAAAAATAAAATTTGATTCTTGTGCAGCTTCATCTATATCATTAACTGTTTTTGGTTTTTTAATGGTTTTTCTTGGTGATGAAAATTCCGATATCTCACGGTTATCGATTCTTTTTTTCTCTCCAGAAATGCGGACGACAGTGTTTTTAGATACTCCTGTGGCTGCAGCAACACGATCATTTACATTTTTAAATGGTATTGAAGGTGAACTAAAGTTTCCTTCTCTTCTCATAAACTCTATAACATTGGCTATTATTTCGCGAGATTGACTGTTAATCACGCGGCCTCTTGATTTGCTATTAAACTCCATACTTAGGTTCTATTAAACTGTAATGAGCAAAAAACACAAACGAAAATAAAAGAAATGTTTTAGCGAAATTTACATCTGACATTTACGTCTGAATAAAATAGTGAAATACTTGATGCGCAGAGTGTACTTTCATTGCGTAAATCCGTCGGGATGCCTGTCAGTAGTGCTTTCTCTGTCTAGCCGTCGAAAGCCTCTAGAAATTTGATGAACTGTACAAGTAATTGTAAACAAAAACATATCGGTACCTTAGTGATGTTTTTATTAGCAGAAAAAAAGATGATAACTTTTAAATAAATAATATGTAAAAATTTTGTTTTTCGAGTTCAAAATAAATATATAAATATATAAATATTTAATTGATAAATTTAAAATTTTTTAAAAACATCATTTCTATCTAACTGATGTAATGAAATAACCTCTGCTTTGTGGTGCTATTTTCCTACTTAGAACAACGTTATGACATCATCACTCCTTTCCACCTCCCTGTTTGATATAGATAATAAACTACAATTTATTATTATATAAATATTTAGTACTTACTCTACGCGTCAGAGAAAACGGGCCACCCAAAAAATTTACGAAATTATCTGTCTTGTTAAGTTCCTTATTTTTTAATTACGTAAAAAGGGTTAGTTTGCATACTTGCGAAGTCATGCAGACCCTGTATAGACTATAAACAAATTTTCTGAACCGAGTAAACCAAAAAATTTATCACTTTTTTACCCGTAAATTAAGTTTTATGAAAGTGACTGTTTTGAGAACTATATGAACTTGTATTGTGTTCTAAGGAGTATTAAAGGTATTTTTCTGCAGCCGTCCCGAAAATAGAACTTTCGGTATAATTTATTAAATCGAAAGTGAAACTTTACACAAATCGTACCGAAAGTAGCTATTTTCGGAATGATTTTTTTTACTTTCGGGACGATTTTTTTACTTTCGGAATAATTTTCAATATCTATGTAGGCGGCCTTAGCAATGACATTTACGGAATTTTTATTATGACATCGCTTGTCAAAATAAATTTGTTGACAGTTCCACTGTATTTTCAATTTTCCGATCCAGAAATGGAAATCGACAACGAAAGTGACGAGGAAATGATTATTCCACATGAAATCAGTGAAGCTGCTAAAGTCGCTACTTATGAATTGTTGCCAGTAAAGTCAAGAGAGAGGTATGAAATGGTCTATAATTTATTCCAAAAATGGCAAGATGATAAAAATTAATATCTCTAAAGCTAGTACAAGTACTGCAACGTCTAATACTAATTTCAACACAGCCATTTCTGCTAATATTCTTAATACTATTAATATAAGTAATTGTTATAATTGTACATTTAATGTTCATAAGTAATATTTATAGTATCTATCCCTATTATTTTTTAATATTTTATCTAATAAACGGCTGCAGAAAAAATATTGTACGTAACGCTACCCAAAAGTGATTTTACGGGACTCGCAGGCTTCCAGGACTCGCCTACGGCTCGCCCTGGAAACTGCGTACTCATCCCGTAAAATATCACTTTCGGGACTTGTTACGTAAATAACTATTTTGTACTACACGGGTCTTCGTAAAGTAAAATGTAATCCTTAATAATGGATGAAAAATATCGAAGAGCTATTCAAATTGTAACATTATTGGAAAATAGAGCAAGTCAACGGGATGTGGCGATATAATTAAATGTCAGTCGTCCGACTGTGCAAAAAGTATTACCAACAGTTTCTTGCGACCGGCTCATATCACCGACGACCCGGTACAGGTACTAAAAAAACAACAGCCAAACTGCTAGAATGCTCCAAAGCAGTTTCCAGGAAGCTCATGGAACGGCAGTCGGCACTTCTACTGTTTGGCGAAGGTTAAGAGAAAGTGGTTTAACAGCTTGCAGTCCAGCTACAGGACCCTTGCTTACTCCAGCACACAAAAGTCACAGATTTGCTATTGCTCGCGAACATATGAGTTGAACAGTGGACGATTGGAAAAATATATTGTCCACGGATGAGTGTAGAATTTGCATATATGGAAGATATGGCCAAAATAAGGTTCACAGAAGAGCGCTGGAGAACGTTATGGTGTCTGTACTCGGTCCCCTCGGGTTGCTTTTGGGGGTGGCTCAGTAATATTTTGAGCAGGACTTTCTTTTGAGGCACACACGGATCTTGTTATATTTGCTAGAGGCGCTTTAACATCGCAATGATACATAACAGAGATCCTAGAAGAGCATGTAATGCCATATGCTGAGTTTGTTGGCAATGATTTGCTGCTAATGTAGGATAATGCAGGACCACACATGGCAAGGATGGTAACACAATACCTTGAAGAGATTGGTATTCCCAAAATCGATTGGCCTCTTCCAAGCCCGGATCTTAATTCTATTGAGCATGTTTGGGACCCTTTCAAAAGGCGTGTAAGATGTCGCATACCAGTTCCAACAACACGCGAAGAGCTTCGGTTGGACCTTGTTGATGAATGGACCACTTTTCCTCAAGCAGACATTCAGACCTTGCTGATTTCTATGCCAAATCGAATGAGAAGTGTCTTTCAGTATCGGGGTGGCAATACGCCGTATTGAAAAGTGATCCTCCCCTTTATAGTTATAAAAATAAGATATATTTAAAAAGATGAATTATTTCGTAAATTTTTTAGGAGGCCCGTTTTCTCTGACGCGCAGTGTATTATTAAATAATTATATCTATTTGTTAAATATATTACAATTATTGTACATTAACAGACTTCCCAAAAACAAAATGCAGAAATCTATTTTACTTACCAAATAATATTGTGGTAACTGATGTTGCAGCGGATAACCAGATTCTCTCAAAAGATGCATCCTATAATTATGTTCCTGTTCTCTAATTTGTTGAATCTTTAACTGCTGTTGAAATTGATGATGATTATCTGGTTCGTGAAAATGTTGAGTACCCTGATGATATCCACTCTGAAAAATATGGAAAAATATATTTAGGCTCAATTAAACAAATAGAAGAAAAATTAATTTAAAATAACTGGCCGACTTTTTCGATACAACGAACCCTGTAATTAGAGATTTAAAGAGCTAACATTTCACGACCAATTTTGCTCTATTTGGGACTCATCATGCAGAAGTAGTGATCTTGAGTAGAATCTCTAGTAAACTCTGAAGACAGTTTGACCATTTGTACCATACAGACAAGATAGTGCTTATTGCACACATAAATTACAAAAAGTCACGCCATCTTCACTAAAATGCCCAAATGAAAATCCGACAACCCGGCGCTAATTAGTAATCAAATAAAAAGTTTAATTAAAAAAAAAATAAAATACACGACCAAGATCTCTCTCAAATGAGAGGTATTTACCTTCGAAAATATAATAATATTAACAAACAAGATTACATGTTACATAGTAGCGGGCGAGATTTAGCATAGCTACTCTTAGGGTGATTGTTAGCTTACCTACAGTTCCCAATTTTACTCTGGATAATATCCGCCTGCCTTATAACACAAACTATTTCCAGGGCTATTGAATGATAGTATTATAAAAGGTGTTAAATGCCAAATTAAAGGGTTTGTTGTTTCGAGAAAGTCGGTCGCGATAATATTTTATAACTAAAAAGGGTATCCAACTAAATGTGGCTATCTTCATTATTTACATAACTACCATACATCTGGCACTAATGCGTTTATGCCTTCTTCTGCTATTCTCCTTTTGTGTTTTGTTTTACTGCTACTAATATCATACTAATTAATAAGTAATTGTGTTAACTTTATCATCAAGTATACTAAGTTCATTATTGTTAGTGCATCTGCAAATGCCATAAAATTGTTATACAAGTAGTTTGTTCTTAAGAAGCCACCTAAGATTATAGGCTTGATTATAGCCGAAACCGGTCTTCTACTCAATGAGCACACACTCGTTTTTTCAACGTAAATATAACGTTGTACGGTATAAAAACGTTATTGATTGAAAATTCAACGTTAAAATTTTAGTAGAAAAATTATACGTATAAAAAATACTACTTTCTAACGTATTTTTTTAGCTGTTTTTAACTGAATGTTGAAAATTTAATAAAATAATACGTTTTTTTATAATGTTACTTTCTTGTTTATAATTAACGTTTATTTTTTACTTCGCTTAATACATTTAAACATTAAGTTAATTTTTTTTGCAATTAATACGTATCTTATCAACATTATTTTAAGTTACATAAAATCGTATTGAAAACGTTGTTGTAACAAAACATTTTAACGTTCGATTTATTTTTTAAACTAAAAATATAATATAAATCATTACTATATTTTAATATTATTTTTAAACGTTTTTATGTAAAGGTACATTTACATCTGACATTTATTGCATGAGATTTATGTCTGACAGTTGCTTAGTGCAGTGTAAACACACAAAAATTTCTCTCGGACATATATTTTTGAGTGTTTATACTGGACTAAACAACTGTCAGATATAAATATCATGCAATAAATGTCAGATGTAAACGTACCTTAACTAAAAGTTAATAGTTTTGTTAAATATTCGTATATTATTAACGTTAGTTTAAATAAAATATATGTCCTATAGAAAACATTCGTGTAATCGTACCTTTTAACGTTTGGTTAACCCTTTAACGCCTGAATTAATATTTTTTGTTAAATTTGTTTTATATTGCATAGTTCTGACAAATATGATATAATAAAGGTAAAAAATATGTATTAATAAATATTTTTAAACTGGGGTTAAATTTAACCACCGTGTTCATATGGACACGCTAGGCGCTAATGAAGTACATATTTAAATTTTTAAATTTTTTATTTTAAATTAAGAAAACACATAAAAACATGCAAAAAAGGTAAACAGGTCTACACATAATATGTTAATTATCATGGAAAAATCTGAAACATTCTATACACAGTCCAACGTCACGTTTACCACATTGGGTCCGAACAGTTTTTTTACAGTTTAATCCAGTACATCTTCGCCGGTAACAAGGCTCAACAAAATGCCGAATACCATCTAACCTAACTTCCCTGGGCACTTTGTTGTCCAAATTGGACATATCCTCGTGGATGAGCAGGACTCTGTGGATTATTTTTATATTTGGTGAGAATGACTTGAACAATTCGTCTTCGAAAATCGAGTTGCGAGATTTCACTACCAGCTTTCCTTTTCAGCAACCTGGCGTTATGAACAGAGACATCTAAAAGCCACGTAAATATGGGCCACCACCATTTCTTTCCACGAATAGAAACTCTGTAATAAGAGACGTTTTGGTCCATCCTATCAGTACCGCTCATGTATTTATTGTATTCACCCACAAGAGCTGGACGAGCAACATGGATTCTCGTTTTTTGCTGCTGAGAATACCGAGTACAATAGGCTATCGGTTCAACACCATAACATGTGGATGCTGCCGAGACAACAGAATTGTCCATCCACTTTACAACAATAATGCCATTTGTACGATCTAATTGTGATGTGTACTCTCCACGATTTTCCGTTTTCATTTCCTTGTTATTTTTTTATTTTGCAGGATGCGGGAATCCTGTTCTCTCGTATAGTGCCCGTGCCGTGATAGCCCCTATTACGTAGTTCTTGTAGTAGTGTAATACTTGTGAAAAGATTATCAAAATATAGGTACATTGGGAGGCTTTCCATACCATATGGAAACATATCCAGCATCTGAATCAAGGGAGCGGCACATTATCCAAATTTTTCTTCGTATGCGTTGTCACCATTTGGATTTTTACCTTGGTAAATATCAAAATTGATGAGGTAGCCATCGGGGGTATTCAAGCACCAAGCTTTATAACCAAACCTTATTGGCTTAATTCGAATACATTGCTTACAACCGTGTCTACCGAAGTATTCGATCATTGACTCGTCAAAGCTGATGTGCTGTTTTGGGCGGTAAAGTTCTAAAAATCGATTTTGTAGTATAATCATAAGTGGTCTTAGTTTCCACATTTTGTCATTATCCGACGGAGAGGAGTTGTCTGCACAATGTAAAAATCTTGAAATATTGAGGAATCTGTCTCTTCTCATAGAAGTATAAACATACTCGTTGCGCAGATCTCCTTGTGAATCCCAATAGTTTCGTTTGGAAGGCACGGTGTTGTATCCAGATAAAATGAGAATGGCTAAAAATACTTCTAGGTCCTCTTTGGAGATGCATATTTTTTTGTTTTTTGAAAAAGGTGCTCATATACGTCATTATCAAAAATTTCACAAAAGATATCATAGAGACTCATTCCTCTGTATCTCTCATAACTTGAAGTAGGGAAAACCACGGGCGGTGAAATCAGATCTCCTTCTATCCATTCTGTCTCGATGGAATTTTTTTTTTTATTTTTTTGTATTGGATTTCTTTTTGGGGAAACTGCCGTCTTGTTCAGAGACCATTGTTTTTTCTTCAGGTGGTTCCTCTTGGCTGACAACGACTTCGACGCCAGCGCGCAGCTGTCTGCCTGATAAATTATCAAAGAGCCCTCCATCTTCGTCTCCCGAATCTTCGTCAGTCAGTACGTTCGGTTCTGGAGGCTCTGTATATATCTGGGACACTTCTTGGTCTTCGTCGTTTTTAATTGCCAATGCTTCCTCCATGGTTATTCCGCTAAAATTAAAAAAAAGTAAAACAATAATATTCTTATTTAGTGCCCACCGCCTACACTAGCGCCTAGCGTGATCATATGATCACAGGCAACTAACGAACTGTTTTACAAAACATACATATTACCTAGATCAACACCAAAAATATATGGATAAATCTTAGAGTGTATAAGTTAAATTTTCCATGCCAAAAATAAATAACAATATTGCATTACGCCAAAAACATACTTACACAAATCTGATGTCCGAATTCGCCATGTTTGCAACAGGTACAGTAAATACAAAACGTAAAATATCGCTTCAGAAAAACGCCGTGCGTTCAACACGAGAGCACAACACGCACTGAACCAACCAGTGTTGCCAGAAGCCTTCAAAGAATTGTACAGATCTCAGGATAAAATTGTACCAGATTTTAACGATTGTACAGAAACGAAATATGTATGTAAACTAATTGTTTATTACCTCCAATGAAAGTCATCTTGTTTGACCTAATCTTAACCATTTGTGGAGTTTCGTGTCAATAAATTCTTGAAATTATTTATAAACGGTAAGCCTTTTTAGACTTTTTGATATACAGGGTGTCTTAATGAAAAGTAGCCCATTTCCAGAGCTTATAACTTTTAAACAAATGGTAGAAACGTGCGGTTTTTGCTGATATGTGTTATTTTGCTATAAGTTTTGATTCAGTGACAAATAAATTATGTATTACCTCATTTAAAAATCTCATCTTTTAAATTAACCGTAACCAAATTTTATCAAATGGAAACGGGCTACTTTTTATTGGGACACCCTGTATAGTTGAATATATCTTGGACAAACTCCTCTACTGTAAAAGATATTTTTTTGTCGCTTCTGATGCACACAGATGTAGGGAGTGACATATACAACCAACAACAAAAATATTTGAATTAACTTTTTCTTTAAGTTTTGCTATGGCCCATCATAACAGAAGCGTTATTTGCACCGAAACCAATAACATTATGGTAAATAATTTAAAATTTGTATAGTAAATCCAAAATGGCATTAGTGTGGACCATCTGCAGAGCAATTCTCTAACTCTACCAGTGACAATAACTGATCTTTAATGGAACTTTGGTTCATATCTTCAAAAAGGCACAAAATTGCCAAACATTTTTTTTGTTGAGATGTCTGTTGTTTCATCTACTATATTGAATTTTTTTTGCATTTTAGTTGTTGCACAAGTTCATTTTCAGCCTCCGTCTTCATCATTTTAATTATTTGGGTAGTCTTTATTTATAATTTATAATTTCAACCACTTGAGAAACTGGAATACTAGATACTAGAAGTTTAGGAACTTAATTTGTACTCGTCTTTTTTAGCTGCAACCGTCAATCTTTT